GGCGCCGTTCCGCGGAGTCCCTGTGCGCGACCGTTACCACAGGACGCGGAGGAGAGAGGGTGAAGCCCGCCGCGCTGCAAGGCAAGGAAAAAAACAACAAAAAAACCCCAAATCGAGTGGTTTTAGAAGGAGGACACCCCTCGCGTGAGGCGCTGGGGGGGTGTCAGGAAGGTTTGGTTTGCCAGCAGGCGAGCTACTGGGAGGAAAATAACCCCCCCAAAAAAGGCTAAAATTGACGTTAAAAACGCTAAAGCGGACATAAGGCAACGCGGGGAGTTTTGTAAGGACGCACTAAAAAAGGTTAAAGATTTAAAATTTTAGATTGACACGCAAAAAAAAGTCTAAAATTGGCGTTAAGAAACCTAAAACGGGCATAAGCCAACGCAGCAAGTTTTCTAAGGACACAATCAAAAATCTAAAGACTTAAAATCTTAAATTGACACCCAAAAATGTCTAAAATTGGTGTTAAGTAAACCTAGATGGATGTAAGACAATGCAGCAAGTTTTCTAAGGACGCAATCAAAAAATAAAGGATTTAAAATCTTAAGTTGACACCCAAAAAAGTTTAAAGTTGGGGTTAAGTAAACGTAAAATGGGCATAAGCCAACGCAGCAAGTTTTCTAAGGACACAATCAAAAATCTAAAGTCTTAAAATCTTAAATTGACACCCAAAAATGTCTAAAATTGGTGTTAAGTAAACCTAGATGGATGTAAGACAATGCAGCAAGTTTTGTAAGGACGCAATCAAAAAATAAAGGATTTAAAATCTTAAGTTGACACCCAAAAAAGTTTAAAATTGGGGTTAAGTAAACGTAAAATGGGCATAAGCCAACGCAGCAAGTTTTCTAAGGACACAATCAAAAATATAAAGACTTAAAATCTTAAATCGACACCCAGAAATGTCTAAAATTGGTGTTAAGTAAACCTAAATGGATGTAAGACAATGCAGCAAGTTTTCTAAGGACGCAATCAAAAAATAAAGGATTTAAAATCTTAAGTTGACACCCAAAAAAGTCTAAAGTTGGCGTTAAGAAACCTAAAATGAGCATAAGCCAATGCAGCAAAGTTTGTAAGGACACAATCAAAAAAATAAAGACTTAAAATCTTAAATTGACACGCAAAAAAGTCTAAAGTTGGGGTTAAGTAAACGTAAAATGGGCATAAGCCAATGCAGCAAGTTTTGTAAGGACGCAATCAAAAAAATAAAGACTTAAAATCTTAAGTTGACAGCCAAAAAAGGCTAAAATTGGTGTTATGTAAACCTAAATGGATATAAGACAATGCAGCAAGTTTTGTCAGGATGCAATCAAAAAAATAAAGACTTAGAATCTTAAGCTGACACCTAAAATAGTCTAAAATTGGCGTTAAGTATACTTTAAATGGGCATAAGCCAATGCAGCAAGTTTTGTAAGGACACAATCAAAAAAATAAAGACTTAAGATTTTAAGTTGACACCCAAAAAAGTCTAAAATTGGCGTTAAGAAACCTAAAATGAGCATAAGCCAATGCAGCAAAGTTTGTAAGGATGCAATAAAAAACCCTAAAGATTTAAAATCTTAAATTGACACCCAAAAGTCTAAAATTGGCGTTACGATACCTAAAAGGGACATAAGCCAATGCAGCAAGTTCTGTAAGGACGCAATCAAAAAATAAAGATTTAAAACCTTAAATAGACACTGAAAAAGATTCTATAAAGTGATGTTAAAAGCAGAGCAGCTGAGCCCTGCCGCGTCCAAGGACAGAAAAACGATTGCCAACGAGGGGTGTTTTCATAGTAGGATCTTTTCCCAACTTTTCTCCTCCCTTCTTGTCACTTCAGTCACTTGAAGGAAATCTTTTTTAAAAACGCTTTGTATGTTCATAAATTCCTAAATATTCTGGATAACCGAAGGCTATCGAGCTCCCCTCCCCAAAAAACTCTCACCATCCCCCAAAACACTTAACAACAAAAAAATCCCACAAAAACTAAACTAAAACCCACAAAAACTAAACCCCAGGGGGTGTGATTACTATTTGGTGGCTTTTCCTGTAGCTCAAGTTGCCATGTAAGAAGTAAGGAAACCCTGGCATTTAGTTGCCATCGATCTGGTTAATTTTTCTCCTCTTCCTCTAACTTATGGAGCTAATACAGAGACAGCAATCCCCCAAACCACTGGAAACTTACAGCTGACTATACTTTTGCAGGTATTTAAAACAATCTTCTAAGTTCTACTTTGGAAGAACAACCCATCAAAAATGGAGCAAGGAAAAGCATGAGAGCGCGCTGAGGCAGGTTACTGCACAGTTTTCTTCTGCTGTGGCTACAAAAGGACTGAAAAGCAGGTGAGAAGGGTGAATTCAGAGGTGGGTAGAAGGAAAACCATCCCAGCAGTGCTTATTTTGTAGAGCATGTGTCATTCCTCCTCGCAGTTCTCACCTCCCCTGCTGCGAAGGGGCACCCCCCAGGTCCCGGCGATGCCACTGCAGGCCCCAACAAACCCAGGACGTCCAGTCCCGCTGTTCCTGAGCTCTGGAATACCCTCTCCTCTTCCGCCTGCACTGCTGGCCAGGCAGATGTTGACTTCCCCCACAAACATGGTCGGGCACGGGGCAGCCCATCCTTCAGCACGTTTATTCACAGCTTTTCTCTCTAGGCTGCTTCAGCAGGGCACCTGAGGTCTATACAAATGGCAAAATTCGTGCCTTTAGGTCATTAATGGGGATTTAGTTTATAAAATGAAATGAGCTAGAACGTGTGCTTCCCACACTTGAAGTCACTTTTCCTCTGCTTTTGCCCACGCGGATGGTGCCTGTGCCGGGAGGGGCTGCACTGAGCAAGCGCCAAAGGGCAGGGGAAAGGAAAAGAACAGACATCACAGGTCAGGAGCTACCGTCCTGTACTCCAGCTTATGTTGCCACAATTTATTGGTTGCTGATTTAAACCAGTTTATATATGCAACATGCACAATGAACAAAACCAGTGATTTATTACAAAAATACGGGTATCGCCCGGGTCAGCAACGCTACGGACGGCGAGTGCGGATGAAGGCTCAGTGCAGGCACCGCGTGACACACCTGCCCCTGGTTCTCTCTACTCGAGGAAACTGCTTTATGACTAAAAAGCATATGGATGACAACACGTTAACTATTGAATTAATCCTATCTGATAACTTGATTACAGCCAGAGAATCTTCTCAGATGCAGCAACACAAGAACACGGAGAGCCAGCTAGGAGAGGGAACCGCTCTACAGGAAAACCTGCTGCAGCGTGAAGGGGGAGCGTGGCTGGGACAGGGATTCAGGCAGGCACAACACTGAAATCCAACTGCCCTGCAGAGTTTCTTTGGGTCTTCAGTCACTTCTGGTTTGAAGCAGGGCAGGAGCTGGGTTTGGAAGGCACCACAAGCACCCCAGTGTCCAGGGGCCACCCGGGTGTGCAGGGACCTGCTGCAGCGCTTCACCCAGGGAGCAGGACAAATAGCAGCAACGCCTCCCCCCCGCCCCCAGCCTCTTCCCTTCTAACCAATAAATAATGGGGAAAAATCTACCAACCAACCAACCCACCGACCCACGTCTCCTGCAGGGGAGTTTGTGTTCAGTACTACACACCTTGCAACAGAACTTCCATTAAAACCAGCAGCAGCTACAAAATCACAGCACTTAATATCATTATTCCCATTTTTATACTTTGTTGAGCTCTTTAGATGTCTCGTCATTCTCAGAGATCAGTATTTGGGAATTTAAAAGAGCCTGAACTCCTGATCTCTCCAACAAGAAACCACAGGAGAACAGAGTGGAATTAAAGCAGGTTAAAAAAAACATAAATCAAATGCCCAGCATATTTATGCCCAGCACATTTTAAGTCACCGAAATTAAAACCAGAAGCATCATCTTGCTTTTTAAATGACAGCATATCAGGATCTTTGCTTTGTGTTGACTTGAAGAGCATAAACGCACCTAACATTTTTTTTCTAAGGCTTCTTCCAGTTAATTAGTAGCATTTTCCATTAAAAAAGGGGTTGGTTTGTTTTCCTTTTCATGCCCTAAATGAGTATTTATATTAACAACAGGCTGTGGTAAGGCTTGTCCTTAGACAGGCTGTAGTATAGCAGAGTGTATCGTCCCTTTCCAAGCACCAGTTGCCCGTTTTGCAGGAGGTTATCAGGAGGATGGCTACGGTTTGCAGCGCTGGACGAAGCGTGGGTAGAGACAGACGTCTCGGATGTGGTGTCTATTCAGGATCCAGGTCAGGAACCGTTCTAACCCCAAACCATATCCACCGTGAGGGCACGTGCCGTATTTTCTCTGTGAAATTAAAATCGGAAAGCAGTTATTAAAGCTTTCTTGTTATTTATAATTGCAGTAATAACACCAGAAAAAAAAACCCACCACCCAAAGGCAAACCCTTCCAAGATTATTTTCTGAGTGATGAGGAAAGCGACTATACTGTTTCAGTGCTCAGTTGTCCTGAGTCTCCTGGGGCAGCATAAGGACTAGAAAGGGAAAAAGGAAGGTGAAAAAGGAAGCCTTGGCGATTCTTTTTCAGCTGCCTCCTCTCCTGCCCTGACACCAGCCAGAGCTCAGGCACTCCAGCCGGCGAGGTCCAACCCCCATATCTAAAAGCAAACACGTCAGGAGGTGTCACGAGAGGAGCACGCCCGCACCACCCCCCTGGGGAGGGTGACCTGGCACAGCCGCGGTTTTAACAGAAGGGACACTCTTACCCAACACATTTTGCCAATGGCTACATGACAACTACTTTGGGCCACCAGAAATACATTGAAATACGTTTCTAATTCAGACCGCGTCGTCGTCAGCACAGTTAAAAAGGGACCAATGGAGTATCGTATGCGAGAGGCAGCAGGGCTGCTGTTTCACAGACCTGGTCGGTGTACCAGTAGTAGGGCGTGGGATCGATGCCCTCTCTCTTGTAGCCTTGGAGCAGCTCCTCGCTGTCCCAGATGCGCATGGAGCCGCCGACGATTTCACCGACGTTCGGCATCAACACATCAACCTACAACACACCACGTACAGTCAAACTATGACAATTAAGCTGCCTGCAGAAGAGGGAGGGAAAACAGCCCAGACTTAGAACTATATCCACAACACGTTTGACCATGTGATTTTAATTCTCGGTGACAGGAAGGCGGGCGACTCCTTCCAGACCCAAGTTACAGATGGAATGAAGTGACTGACTAGGTTTTCTAGCCTAATACTCCTGGCCTCACCAAACTATAAAACTGAAAACCCAACCCACAAAAAACACACCAAGAAAACCACAAAACCAAACAAAAACAGAAAAATAAAAACCACACCACAAAACCACAAACCCAGCAGCATTCCTACCAACCACCACTGTTCCCAGCTGCCAGAGAGCGAGTGCTCAGACAACACCCTCTCCGAGAGCAAGACCTTGCCCTGCCGCTCACCCGGGGCGGGCGCGGAGCTCGCGGTGACCCCACATCCCAGCAGCTCTGCAGAGCTGATCCCTTTATTTCTGTCAGATCAACGCACCACGCCAAGAGACGCCCAAAGCAGAACCTGGAAAGAATTCTCCAGGAATTTCCTGGAGCACTCGCTCACACCGACTTTCCCCGCTCCTGCAGCACAACTTACGGATTCGGTGAGCCGGGAGTCGTCGTGGCAGCGCTGCATGTAGAAGGACTTTATCTCTGCAGGAAATCGGCACAGCAGGATTGGTTCGTTAATAGTGTCTGTCATCAGCCTCTCAGGAGCTTCAGGAATATCCTAAGGTTAAAGATGACTTTATTAATACTTAAAACCCAAACCACTCCAATACCTTGAGTCCCACACGCATCAGGCATGAAACAAAGACAGTTTTGGACCACATGTATCCACACATTCATCCCCACATACCTAGATTTTTAAAACAAACTTATCGTAGGGGAAAATATATAAATCATACATCAGGAAAGAAAACCTGTTCAACTAAAATCCAAGTCTTCCCAATGTTTCAGACAGGAAACTGAGGAAAACCTAACCTGAAATGTAGACTTTCCAAACAACCAGTAACACCAAAGAGCCTGATCTCCCTCCTCCCCAAAACCACCTTCCATAGATCTCAAGACTAAGATGCACAAGTGTTTCCCCGTTATGTATATGGGCTGTTTTTTCAAAACCTCAACTGAGTAGTTATATAGATGAGGTTATTTGGTTTTTATCCAAGTTTTCTGACTGCAATTTGATAAACTGTGAAACACCAAGCAGACCAATTCAACAACGTTACTGTTAGAAAACTGGGTAGAAGCTAAGGGTGACACCCCCATTACGCTGACAGACAGGACACATCACTGATACCGTGATCACAGCTTCTTAAACCAACACGCTTTGCTTAGTCAAACCCTGTCTATCCCTAGAAGGTTTAATTCTGACTTTTATTCAGCCAATGCTATCACACTTTTCTTAGATTCTGATTTTCTTAGGTCTCCTCCTAAAAATGTCACTTCTCTTAAATCCTTTGAGGAGCAGGGCTACACCACCAAGTCCTCTCAAGCTCCTTCACATCATTTTGCCTTACAGGCTGGAGAACGAGACAGGGAACAGACAGACAGGTTTTGATTCCCATGTTCAAAGACGTTCTATGACAACCCAACCCAGGCGTGCACTCCCCAGTACAGCACTGCTACACCTCCCAGCACCGTCCAGACAGGCCTCTGGTTTATAGCAAACCTCCCATGAGACTAGAACATCCCTCCCGATCAGTATCATTCCAAACAAAACACAACAGATTCACACAGCAACAGCCAAGCCAACAGCACCGTGGCCCAAACACACTGTTCCTCGAGGGACTGACACGCCCCAGGCGCAGGGCAGCGGGGTCTGGTTTGGTGTGAATTCCTGAAGAGCCCCAGAAAGACTTACTTCCCCAAACTCGTAGTAAGTGCCATCTTCCTTCTTCACATCGTGCTCCTTCAACCACTCAATGGCCTCCGTGTAGTTCATTCGTCGGAAAGGACGTTTAGGGGGCTGGAAGCCCTGAAAAATAAGAGTAGACATAAAGCCAGGCAGAAAAGCACTGTTTTTAAAGAAAAGTACATTCCTAGTTGATCAGCGAGTCCACTTCCAGGCTCAAAGCATACACACCAGTCTTCCCAGCTCATACATCAACAAGTTATGACTTAATAAAGAAATGCTGCTCAGTGCTGAGAAGCTAGAGCCAAACACAACCTCTGTCCCAGCACAGTAAAGCTCACAGGACAGGTGCTGAAAGGGGTGGCAGGAGGGAGAGGAGAGGAAGCATCACACTCGGCCCCTCGCAGAGGCTCCATGGGCGAGGCCGCAGAAGGTTTTGGCTTCCCTGTGCCCAGAACAGCTTCAGCCCCGCCTGCAGCAGGTGGGCTTGCTCCCGCCGTTTCCTGAGCCCAGCCTCAGCCCAAATTTAAAACTGAACCTCCCGGCGTTTATTGGGAAATCGGGGCAAGTTAACAAGGAGTTTGTACGTGCTGTGAGAGAAAAGCTAGAGATGGAGATAAGGTCAGCAGGCTCTTAAAGCCATCTTCCTTGCGAAGGCAACAGAAGACAAAGGGTCTCTAACAAATGAAAATGGCTTAGAGCTCCATGTTCCAGGGTGGAAAGTAAAACACCGGTTGTTTCATTGCTCCCTTGTGCTCAATCTGCAAGTACCAGCCGATCAATATTACGAGCTCTGGGATAGAGGTTTTTATTCCACTGGTACAGCACACGCTGCAATAAATCCCAGCACACTGCTGGCTCCTGGAAGGGGCTAGCAGGGAACTCCTTCCCCACAGTCCCCTGCTTCTGGAAGAGTCATTACCAGCCCTGCAGCATTTTCATTCTTTTGAGGTTAGTTAATACTTTTATTATTAACAACAGTAAGCTGGCAGAGCTCACTGCCATGCCCTGCCTTCCCCAACGAAGGTGCTCAGCAGGAAAGGCTGAAGGTTGTGTTTTCCTGGCTGTCTGTGACCACCCCACGCTGCTGCCTACCGGGTTTAGGTCGTACAGTAAGCTCGATGCAGGAGATTTCAAGACTCTGTCTACCACATCACAAACCAAGTTCTCCAGTCGGTCCAACAAATCCTCAAAACTTATAAACGGACATTCAGCTTCAATGTGAGTGTACCTGAAACACAAAGCCACACCATTACACAACCACACACAAGCAACGAATCTTTATCTATGAAAAAAACCACTGTCATGAAAAAACACCCGACAACCCCAAACCACACATTTTTGTCCCCTTTGAAAATAAAGCCATAAAAAAAAGGAAAGCAACAATATAAACTGTAATTTCTAAAAAGACAAAGCTTCCCAAAAATAGCTCAGCTCTGTTTCACCTGGACCTTCCTTCACTGACTGTCAGCACAGCATGACAATTCACCAAGACAAAGTGTTACCCAAAGAGACTTTTGCTCAGCCCTTCCACGGCAGCGTTACGCTGGCTGCTCGCTGCACACTACATCACCCAGCTGCTGCTACTCCCCCGCTTCAGGAATCCACTTAGAACAGCACAGAAGTGTCCTCTCTCCGTACTCTGCCAGGTGTCTGCGGGTCCTGGACTGCTCTGCCCTGTACGACTGAGCAACGCAGAAAACATCTCCTAAGGCCGGGATGCAGGTCTCCAGGTAGAGCTGGGACGACTGCGTCAAGTACGCCTCTTCACCAAAATAGTCCAGTTTGAACAGGGTCGAGCCTCCTTCCACCTGCGTCTGCACTAAAGTGGGCGGTGTGACCTGTTAAAGAACAGGATGGTCACTACTCGAGAGAGGAATTAAGGAGAACACACAGACCTGCTCTTCAGTCTGGTGTCCCTCTGCACCTTAAAAAGGGCCATGCAGCTGTTTGCGACGTGTGCCGTGACGCTTCTGCGCCGCAGAAGCATCTACATGCCTTTGAGATATGTCTATGGAAGCAATCAAATAGCAGTTTCCTTAGAAACAGCTTCTCTTTTGTCCCGCCTGGTCAATTAGAAAGTCTGCACAGTTTTTCCAGGAAAAAGACAGCCTGGAAGTCAGGACACGACCACAGTCCTTGCTGACAAGGGAGAACATACTTACTTCGTAGTATCCGTTGGCAAAGAAGTGATCCCTGAAGGCCTGCACTACCATGGAGCGCACCTTGAAGATTTTGGACATATTCTCGCCCCGAATCATCATATGCCTGTTGTTAAGTTGCACATCAACCTCGGAATCCTCGTTGAGGAGATTGTCAGCCCCTCCTGCTGGGGCCAGACCAATAAGCTCCCAGTAGTCGCAGTTCAGCTCGTGGCCTCCCGGAGCCTGACAATGGGAAGAGAAACAAAAGTTTCACAAGTCCATTTTTTGCCCCTTGGATGTCCCCGCCTGGCATCGTAGCAGAGATGTTAATCCAGCTGCAACAAAAGATGCTGAAATCCTAATGGCAGTATTTTCCAACTTTGTTGGAAACACCGTTTGTGACCCAGCACGGGTCTCCCTGACTGAACATAAATGGGACGGAGTACTGCAGCCAGGTGACGAGGAGCTCCCACACACCTTCAGTCCAAGTGTAAGACCCCACAGTCAGCTGGGTTTATTCAGCTGGAGAACAGAAAGCTAAGCTGGGGGAAACTACTTAATATCTGCAATATCTAGCGGGTGGTTATAGGGAAGGTGGAGCCAGACTCTCTTTGGACATGTCCAGCAAAAGGACAACTGTCTCGGGATGCAACAGGAGAGATTCCAATTGGCTATAACGAACCGTTTTCACAAGGTTCACATTCTAGAGCACAGACAAGCCAGCCTGCAGTCCCCAGCCTTGGAGACCTTCAGGAGCAGCACACCTGGACAAGCCTCCCTCATGTCAGATCTTCAAGAAGAGGGAGGAGCAGTGACCTTCGGAGGGTCCCCCCAACCAAAACCATTCTGTGGTAACTTACACTGTGCATTACACGGACTAGTTTTGGCTAGGACAGAGTTAGTTTTCTTCACAGTAGTTTGTACAGTGCTACTACAATGCAGCACGTAAGCCTTAAGAACACAGCAGACACACAGAGTGAGGAGTCCTCCCACCTATTAGAAGAAAATGCAGACCCAAGACCGCAGTACGGCGTTCAAGGTATTTTGTTCTTTGTGCTATTTGAGCCACTTTCTCCTGCTGGCTGCAGACTTCAAAAAAATTGAGAAACCTTGCTCAGATCATGACAGCAGAACTGGCTCGCTGCGGGTGCTTTTGGGTGTGTGTGTCTGACACCGAGCAATCCTTCTGCACTAGGCAGCATCCCAGCAGACTCTGAAAACTCAAGTTCCGTGCGGGTCAATCCCGCCGGGCTCTGCACACCTCTCGCTGCCTTTCTGGTCTCACCAGCTCCCCCGCGTGGGGCACAGGCGGCTTCTCTCCCCTCAAACCGTGTTCTCATTCACAGTGTTTTCAGGGTATAAAGGCAGATTTCCAGACTCTAATCCTACAGATTTCCACAACGTGGTGCTTTTGTTCACTAGAAGCACTGCATCGTTATGATGAGACATGAAAACATGAAGGGTTTTCACGGCCCAAACCATTATGGGCAGTAGCATACCATGAGTCACTTATAATTACCAAGTGCATAAAGTTGTTTAAAGAAGCGATTCCTGATTGACTGCATTTATTTTTACAAGTCCTGGTAGTGTAAGTAGTGACGAAAAGGAAATCTTGCTACCTTCTGGTGAGCAAACCCAACGGGGAGTGGACTCACATTTCACAGAGTTCGGCTCTTTAACCTTACGTCGATCTCTTGGGGATAGGCCCTGAGCAGCAGGGAAAACTAGAACAATTAAGCATACCCAAATTTCATTTGCAAAACATGCCAGTAATGGCCAACAGTACATAGTTTACAAGAAAACGGAATTCTCTAAAAAGCACCACAAAAGGTTAACACTTTGACCTTATTTTACACACTACAGGCAGCCACAGCGAGGGACTACATCACTCAAATATTGTCTAACACATCTTGGAAACATTGTTTGAAGCAACAGAACACTCCAAAATGTGATTTTATTTTGTTTTTCAGACATGTTTCTTCTCCCTGCTAACTTTTGAGAGTTAGTACGCTTACTCGGGAGCCCAGACAGGAGAATACAGATTGCCAACCCACACAAAAGAACAACTCTCACCACAAGAGCTGATGACCATTTTGACTATGTATCTAAAGGAAGAGGTAAGCTGACAGACTACCAAGATTAAACAGTATCCTCTACATCTCAGCATTACTGCTTTGCTTTCTTCTTCAGAAAAAACTGACATTACTAGAAGCAGCTATTAAGAGGTCACGTCTACTAAGGCCTACTCAAGCACACACATGGCCTGAGCACACTTGCTGTTTCTGCACCACAAGCTAAGTTCTGCAACACAGCCTTTTTGCAACACCAACTTACTTTTGTCTTTCAGTCACCTCTTAATAACCAAGGCAAAATTCCTACAAGGATTTTCAGTAAATATTCTGATAGAGGCCTGCACACCCCACTGAGGGCACCGAGCTGCTGTCACAGATAACGATTCCTAACAGCTCATCCCCTCTGTCAGCCTGAACCCTTTCTAGGGAACGTCCCTCACACACAGCTGCTCCACACAACTTTAGCCCTAAATCCAGATTCCAACAGTTTTCCACACAGTAACAGCGTGTAGATCTAGACTGGAACGAGAGGCACAAGGCATAAGCAGCATCATATTTTGAGACCTAAAATCACACCGGCTGAGCCATTAATCTGAGACCACCATTATAAACAAAGCTTTACAAAACAAGTTCTAGTGAACTGCCTGCCTCGTGCACCTGCCAGGTGCTGGAGGAGAAACAACCCTACAAACCACCTCGGTAAGAGAGCTAATCCCCAATTCTTGGCCTCACCAAATAAAAACTGAAGAAACCTCTTGTTAGGGTAAGCAAAGCTATATCACCTACTTAATATAAATTTTCCACTGTTACATTCTAGCAGTATCTGTGAGACATAGGAGTGGAAAACTGTTTCAGGCAAAAGCAGAACGGTCACATAGTTCAGCTGTCACACACCAAACTGGGGGCGGCAGCAGCTGCTTTGGGAGGTTTGTTCTTTTCTCTAAACCAAATTCCCACCAAAATTGTCTAATAATTATTTTCACTTCTGCTTCTCCTTCCATCAGGAGAACAATAAAATGCTAAAGAGGAGGAGCACCCGAAGACCCCACGCCCCGTACCTGCTTGCCTTCAGGAACGAGGTTCAGCGTACCATAGACTGCAACGCTGCTCTCCGTGGAGAGAACGAGCCCGTTGTAACACTGACACTACAGAGAGAAAAACAGAGGCACGTTATGGGGGGGTATTTTTGCTTCTCCTACGACATCTGCTGGAGTCACAGACAAAAAGAGTCACTTCTAAATAGTTCTCGCATTGGCAAAAACACTCCGGTGGTAGGAGACACAACTTAATCAGTAGGTTTAGGAAAACTTCTAATCATGTACACAGAAGGGATGAGGTGTGAGCACTTATTTCATGACAGAACAGAATTAAATCACCACAGCTTACCAGTTCATCTGAAAGGACACACTGAAGAAAACCGGTGCCATCTCGCAAAACAATGAACATTAGGTTTTTTCCTAGTTAAAAAGAGAAAAAAAAGCGCAAGAGCCTCAGCTTTATTCGCCAATCCATTCGAATGGACCCACTCAAGACACCCTAACCCCTGCTGAGCAGATGATGACCCCACTCCTCCATTTACAAAGCAAAGCCGCTGCGGCGAGCGCTGAGCCCCAGCAGTGTTCCAGGAACCTTTCAGAGCGCAAAGCCTGCGCCAGCCCAGCGGGGAGGGCTCACCCCCCCGCCCCTCTGCTCCAGGGGCTGCTGCAGACCGGCTGCACAGGCCCGGGGCACACCCAATACGAGGGAGCCACGGCAGCCTGCTTGCCCACCCCTCCGCAAGAAATAACTGCTCACTATATCCAGATCCACAACCACTTCATCAGGCCCTCCAGGGACAATTACAACAAAGGCCTGTGGAGTCAGAGCCCTCTGCCGTGCACTTCTGTGCCCCGACTGAAGCCACCCTGACGACCAGAACACCAACCCTCCTGGTAGCAGGTAACACCTGCTAAACTTATTTTTAAGAAATTATGCTACTTTATATAACTTTATAATTCCAATTTGCTGATTTTACTCTGAGCAGATGCTGGTTAGCTCCTTGGTTCATGGGATTAGTTTAAAACACAACATAATCCTTTTGCAGAAATTCTGCAGGACTGGCCTCTAAACTGAAAGTCCCATGAGATTTCAGCTAAGACCTGCCTGTATGCTCATACACCACGCAGCATTTTCAGTGCTGTAGTGGCTGCTGTGATAAACTAAACGTCTGACTGACAGTTTAAAAATTTAAGAAGAGGCACTGCCTGATTCATTTTAAGCATCCAAATTGTGAAGGCTACTGCAATTCATTCCATCTCTCTGCACAGGTTCAGTAACTTCTGCTTTGATTCTGGTAACCTGTGGTTTACCTTGCCTCCGTAATCTGTGAATCCAGCCAAAAATCTTCACCCTCTGGCCTCTGTAAGCCTCCAGCGCATCAATCTTCACCTGTGAAGCAGGGAACGGGAGCAATCAAATGGAGAAGTGATTCACCACAGGACTCCTTAGAACCCAAGTGCACGGGACCTCCCTCTCCACAGAGCGGCCCCTCCCCAGGGACGGGGCACAGGCACGGCCGCCGACACTCAGAGCTCCTCAGCGAGGGAAGAGGGTTTGAGGCAGGGGACAGCATTCCGAGAGCTCCCACCCAGCCCCTGCTCTTTGCAGGTTTACTCTGCCAGGTAGAGGCTGAGGACTGTAACTGCCTTTGAGGCAGCTTGCTGGGCATCTGACCGAAGGGAAAACGTGCAACAGCTCACAGCAGCCCCGGTGCCTTCAGCCACCAGGTGCCCTGGGAAGGATGCTCTGACACACCTTCTGGCACTCTGAGCATGCTCAGGGCTCCAATCAAAGCCACCTCCTCCACACACACCTAGAAAACTCTTCTCCTCAGGCTCTACCCAAAAACCCAGCACAGCACGTGCAGTACCAGCCTGCACCGTCACCAAGGCCAGCAGGATGGGAACTGCCTTCCACGCCTCGGTAACTCACTGCAGCCTCTAACCAGAGGCTTCTTCACTCTCCACCACCGCAATCAAAGCCAAGCCAGTGAGCTTTTTCAAACAGAATTATGGTCTGTACTGGCAGACAGACACAGAGAAGTCTGATACGTGAACTCAGAAGGTCCAGACGCCCATCAAGCACATGAGACAGACCAAGTCTATATACTAGAAGGCACAAATAATCAGAAAAACAAAGTTACATTTGCAAACAGTAACAAGGCAGGGCCCTTCCACAGCTGCCAGAGCCACAAAGCAGAGACAGGCTGTACACAGGCCCTGCAGCAAGTACACCAGATCCTACTCACACATTTTGGCTCTGGAAGACTAGGATCGTTCTTGATAACAACCTTCTTGGCTTCCTCCAGGTTCTTCTCTCTTCTCAAGAGATCTTCTGCCTGGTTTAAAACAAAAAGTATTAAACAGCTGTAACAAGGGTTTGTAAGATTCCCACGCTTTACAATTACTGGAGACCATAAAAACCCTTGATGTTACCCTGCTGAGGCCTCAATGTGCTCAGGTTCAAGGCCAGGATGAGAAACAATGCACAAATGCATTTCTCACTTTTTCTGGGAAGTCTAAAGGCAATAGATTGCAATTATTCAAAATTCACCCGGTTGCAGCAATTTGCAAGCAAAGGCAAACTGTAAATAATGTACATGTGAAACGACACAGGTAAAGACCAAACTGAGGCTTTTTTGGAGGGGCAGGAACGACAATGCTGTTAAATGGTTTTGGAAAAGAAAGGTGGAGGGCTTCCTCCAACTTGGCATCACCTCCAACCTACCTCCTTCTTCTCCTTCGCTTCATTCTTTGTTTGTTCCCTGTGCCACAGTTTTTTCACATTTTTCATCTGTGACTTTGAAATGATGGCCCATCTCTAAATTAACCCAAGGAGAGAGCAGAAGATAAAAGATTACACTTGTGGCTTTCCCACAAAGGAACGTTAAAATAATTTCTACTAAGAAACTCTAATGATACATCACCTCATTTTCTTTTTGCGAATCCACATAAATAGTAGGAAATGGTTCCTTTCCTGCTGTCATCAAAGCCTAAAAAGGGGAAAAAAATAACAAAATCAATGGCACCGCAAGCACACTAAATTCATCCTTAAAGATGATCAGACATCCTACTTCTGATCCTTCTGGTCAGGGTCGCAAAAACAGCTCTAAAACTGACACACAGAACTCTGAGACCAGTTACTTGACTTAAAGCGCAGTTCACTCTTCAAAACAAAGAGCGGGTGTTTTTGAGAGTTACCTTTAGAACAGTCTTGAAGGGTTTCTTTTGTGTCCCATCACCAGTGGAATCATTGCCCTCTCGGTCAGAAACATAGAGCTCTTCTGTAACGCACAGCAAACAACGGCAATTACTTCAAAAACATGTAAATTACTGGCTATGCAATAGGAAGAAAATGGACACGCACAAGGATATAAAACCTTCACAGTTCTCAGCAGCGATTAACCTTCAGAAACAACCATCTGGTCAGACAGGATGAGAATTAATTGGTATTTTCTATTCTAAAAACCAATCCGTGCAGTAAACGTGTCACGCCAAAGCCTGAAGGACTCCCAGGACACCGGCCTCTTGAAAGTCACCGGCTGCACGGCCGGCTCCGCAGGGAAGCGGCTTCTTACGGAAGGAACTTCCTCCAGGCCACCTCCAGCTGAGACGGTGAATCGAGACGGCTCGGGGTTCAGGTCAGGGTCTCGCTCGCGAAAAGCGCAGGGACCGGGGACAGAAGCCCGCGGCCCGCAGCCCCCAGCCCTGCCGCCACGGGGCCCGGGGCTCCCCCCCGCCCCGCGGGTGCGCTCCGCCTCGGCTGCCAGGGCC